GATGACTGGTTGATGGATTGATTGATGTATAGATGGATGATGGCTGGATGGATGGATGGATGGATGGATAGATTGATGATGGATGGATGGTAGACACACAGATTTAGATTTGTTGATGTTTCTTTCATGTATAAATGGATAATGTCCTGTTTTTCAGTCACTCCAGGTGAGGGGAGCACAGAGATGGAAAGAAAGGGGTCCAGGAAGAAAGGCCGCTCCAGAGGATGCACCATCTACAGGGAGCACAGCGCCGACGCCAGGTGAAACCACAGTCAGTGTAACAAGCCCATTTGTGTTCTCAGTGAATGTTCTGAAGGGCAAACATTGTGGCTGTTACAAATCTCCTCTAACAGTGTGAAGCCCCCCCATGAGGGCAGTAGACAGCGATCCTGCAGCGCACCAAACCTCCGCAGATCCCCAAGACACAGTCCAGCAGTGCCTGGGGTCCCAAGTCTTTTGGAGACAGGTATGAACAGCTCAGCAGATATGTTCTTGTTGATCTCTAAAGCAGCTGCAGATGAACGGTGTTAAAGGATCCAGGTACATCCTTCCCATCTTGCTCCAGTTATAGACTGGACCTTCCAGATGTGCATGTTTTCAGCTGTATGATGAAGAAGCTGCTGTGAATACCCTCACAGCACCTACATCTGGATCATTGACACTTATGGGAGAGTTTTATATGAATCCACACCTCCTGGATGTTTTGATAACGTCCGAGAGCCTCCTCAGTCTGAATGTTTTTACAAACACGGTACTTACCCTCACCCACCGCTAACGGCCAGTGTGAGTGGTCATGTCATTGCCTGTGTGTGTCCGTGTCTGTTAACAAAATATTTTATGAACTACTGGACAAACTATCAGAAAGTAATCAATGAATGTTCAACTGATTAATATTTGGACACAACTCGATTCAAGATGGCCACCATAGCTAAGTGACAGACTAACAGTTATAGTTCCAATAATTTTTTTAATTCAAGTTTTATGTATACAGGTTAGTCTCATTGAGTCATGAGGACTCATTGACGAGAGACCTGTTATTTGTTAATTTGACAGATATGGAGCTAAAATCTTGTGTGGTAGTAGCTGAGAGTCTTTCTCAACACCTTCCAGAGAATCTAGGCCTGCATATGACTTCTAGAAGCTTTAGAGGACAACCTTATCAAAAATAAACTCATGGCTCTGTTTCTGCATAATCTTCATGGCAAGAAAATGCAACACCATGTTTTAAGAGTGTGGAACCAAGTAGGAGCAGATGAAGAAAAAAAGATGAAGGCCTAAAACTGAGCCTTGTGGAACACCACAAAAAAGAGGAGAAAAGGAAAATACTAAACCATCAAGGCTAACACAGTACCGTGTTTGTTTTTCCAAATTGTACCTGAACCATTCTAAAGCAGTGCCCTTGATTCCCACCCGCTGATTCAAACAACAAATTAGTATCATATGGTCCACAGTGTCAAATGCACCCATTAGATCTAAAAGTGCAAAGATATCACAGTCACCAGAGTAACTAAAATGATGTTGTTAAAAACTTTTAAAAGAGCTGATTAGTGCTGTTGAGGGTTTTTTTAAACCTTGAGAATGCTATGCTGCTCAAGAAAGACAGTAAACTGACTGTGCACTATATTGAATTTCTTTAGAAAATGAAGACAGCTGCTTCACCTCTGAGCTGGGGGCAGGCCCTTCTCCATCCTACCTGTGTCTTCCCTTCCAGAAGGAGCCCCCCTCAGCTTCTGACCCTGACGGTGATGGAGATGAGTACTGTCTCAGCAGCCAGGGCCCCGAAGCAGCACCATGCAGGAAGAGCCCAGGTGGGGGCCGTCGTTCCGAGTTGGTCCTGCTGGGTTGCGGGGCTCTGCTGGCAGCAGTCGGTTTGGGCTGCGACCTTCTGACGTTGGCCCGGCAGGAGGAGACCATCAAACCCCGATGGGAGGGCTTCTTTCACCGAGCAGGCGGCCCCCCAACTCGCAGACTGTTCTGGCGAGAAAGCCCGCTCAAGCCTTCAGCACCCCCTCTACCTGGTGGAAGTTTATCCCCTTCATATACTCTCTTGTCCTCTATGTCTGACTGCAACTCCACCCACTCCCTGCTGCACTCAGACAGCAAGGAGCTGCTGGTGCAACGCCCTGACTCGCCCACATCCCAGCTCCCCCCTCTACAGGCAGCTCATGGCCCAATCAACTCGCTGGTCAACACTCGCATCGAGAGCTTCAAGCGTAATCCCCGCCAGTCTCTCACCCCCACCCATGTTCCCTATGTCCCCACTTCCTGTCGCAGCCTCCGCCGAACACCGTCAGATGGAGCCATCAAGAAGAATTGTCCCCCCAACGGTCTGGATCCCCTGCCAGAACAAGGAGCTTTACACAACACAGGTGAGATACCTCGTCTGTTTATCATCTGCTGAAACAGACATGGTGTTCAGGAGTATTGATATTAAATCTGATCAATAACTAAGAAAAACACTAAAAAAATAAAGTAGTTTAAATGATAAGCTAAAAGGAGCTAAGGGAGCTGAAAATAGTTGAAAGAAGCTGAAAAAATCTTAAATGAGCAGTAAAAGGTTTTAAGCAGCTAAAGGGTTTGAAGGATGTGGAGAGCTCCATTCATTTTTAATGAGACAAACATGGCTGACAAAGCTGACTATTTCAAAAAGTAACATTTGCACAAATATCAAAGGTTGTAGCAGGAATGTCCTGAATGAGCCGAACATTTTGAGACATAAGTTGTTGAAATAGCACAAAACAGCAGAATGAGTTAGGAGCTGAAAAATGGATCTGAATGGTCCATTTCCAATTTCCAATGTTCTATTTAGGAACAGTCAGATTATTTGTCATAGAGGTACATGTCATACATTTTGCTGATGCTTTTAAACAAAGTGTAGTGCCTTGTAACATGGATATTTCTGAAAAATAGACAGTTCTGCATGACACAATGCCCTGCACTTATTGACTACAACACCTAGCAATAACAACTTTAGCATCCTAAGAGCAGAAAGAAGCAAGTCTCATAAGCAGCTGCTCCAGAGTGTTCTGTTGAGCTTTGTGAGAAGATCAGCTGGCAGCTGTAATATGAATGAATGAACCACTCCAAAACAAACCAGCTCATCTGTGACCAAGGATCAATGGTCCTCATTTTAGATCACCATGGTAACAGGGACAGAGTTTGGACTCACCCTGTAGCTGCATCTGAGCCCACCAGCTGCCCCAGAGCTGCACCCAGTTTTTCTAGACAGTCCTGGAAGATGTTTCTCACTTCCCTGTTTCCAAGGGGGTCTGGAACGGTCGAAGAGGGTTTAGGGGATCTGGAAGTCCTCGAATGTCTCTTTGAGGATACCTCATTTTCCAGGGACTAGAGGATCTCAAGTTTTCAGTCGCCAATATCTCCAAGTCTTCTTGCAGGTAGGAATTCTAGGCAAACCAGTGAGAGTTCAACAAGGACATGATCATACTCATTACTAAAATGCAGTTGACTCCAAGTGGTTCTTGACATATTTTGCTAACACAGAAACACAACATTATAGCCTTCAGTAGCAGCTACCCCTCAAAAAGAGCATTTATTAGAACTTAATGGTTTCCTTGAGTTTTTACTGGTTCTTTTGTCTTTTATGTTGTTCGGCAGCAGCAGTCTTCAGAGCCTTAAAAGAGGATGGTTCTGAGGTTCCTCGCCTCCCTGATCCAAACCTGGTCTTTCCCCCAACACCTCGTCATCGCTGTGCTCCAGAACGCCCCAAAACCTTGGACTTCCTGGTTCGACCTCGGCCTTCACCGCGAACTCGTTGTGACGTCTTCTCGGTCGAAACCAAGCCCATGGGGACAGGACTGAGCCTGACGAATGGCGAGTCCTCCATCCACACATCCAGCACAGACACTCCACCCACTTCAGAGTTTGGTAGAGACCAGGCAGTGCCTCTCACCCCCACAGAGGGCCCAACACCCTTCTCCCCCCACAGGAGTGAAAACCTGTTAGATCATTTGGACAAGGAACAGTGTCAGGATGGGACGGTCCCACTCTGCAGGACACAGACCAGCCTTCACAAAGACTCGGCCGATACAGCAGGATTCTGGTCCTGATTCAGTCCGAGCCTTCAGTGGCCCGGTCCGTGCATGGGCAGAACCATTTCTACTGTCAGGCTGAGAACTGTTAAAGAAATTCTTCCTGATCTGGCATCAGAATCAATGGCGAAGTATCGCCCTCCAGCTACCTGCTGAACCTGTAGACCGAGATCATTTGAGGACCAGACGGAACCCACTTATGGTCCTTTTGGTCAAATAACACCAGGCTCAGTCTCATGTTCTGTGAGCTGTCGGAGGACAGGCTGTGAATGACTCTCAGCAACTACCATGCAGCATTTTAGCTCAGTATCTGTCAGACTGGCTGAGGTCAGATTGCTGTGGCAACCATGTTGAACCGGACTGCCTCTAAAAGTTAAACGGTTGTAGAGGTACATCCAGCCATAATTTGTGGCTGCAATCCATCAAGTCATTCATGAGGCATGCAGCTAAAGACACTGTCGGTGAACAGGGTTCTCCTAAATGGCTCCAGTAAGTCCTGTGAGGTTTATTTGGACCCTCAGTCTCCTAGTGCAGTTCTCCAAAGCTCACAGTCCTATCCTTTGAGTTTTGAACATCTGTTTTCCATTTTTCTCTGGATGTAGTCACAAAGTTGGTTGAAAAGCAATATACCAATGTCCCCCATCACTGAGGGATCTGAACAGTGAATGTTTGTAGTTTTTGAGATGAGTGTTTCTCTGGACTGGACTTGAACAGGGAATGCAAGTAAACCTTCATGTTTTTGGTGAAAGATGTTCAAGAGGGTAGGAGTTTCTTACCCAAAAAACTGTCCAAAATGTCTTAGTCCAAGATGCAGCCAGACACAAAAACGGCAGTCAGTACCTCACCACATGGACGGACAGATGGAAGGTTTGCCCCTCCCCCCTTCATTGATCTGTGATGGGGGACAACCAGTCTGTGGACCTTCTAGTTGTTCCTGCTCTGGTTTTCATCTGTTAGAGGAAGATTTCCAGATGGAGCCATCTTACTTCTGACTCGTTCTGTTTGAAGTCATTAATATCCTTAGAGCTTTCAGAATCACTCTGAGTGGAGTCCAGATGGAACCTCCATGAATATAAAACTTGGTTTTGGTTGTTAAACTTGAACATTTTTGGATCAGATCCTTTAAACTCATCTGAATTATGTTTTTATCGCCCGCCTCAAGACAACAGCAGAGCCATAAACCTGGTGTTTATTCATCTGTACTGTTAGCAAAATATCTCTCTAGTTAAACTTTCAAAACGTAATCTCTGGTTGTTCGTCTACAACTGATTAACTTCTGGACTCAACCTGATTCAAGATGGCCGCCACAGCAAAGTCATGTTGTCAAACAAAAACGACTGAGTTACAGTTAGGTGTGGTGGTAGCTGAGACTGATCCCCACGACAACATCTGAGTGCTAAATGATCTGTTTTTAAAACTTCTAATAACCGCATGAGTCCTTCTGTCAGCAAAATATCTCATGAACCACTGGATGGATTTTTTTTTTTTCATTTACGGCTTATTGACTTTTAAAGTCACCTCCTCTGAAGACGGTGGTGGCCATCTTGAATGTGGCTGACTCCAGAACGTGTCATTAATTCTTCCTCTGGGAACGATTCCGTAAATATAGTTAACTGAGATATTTTGCTAACAGAGGCACAGGCCAAAACATCATTGTCCACCTGTGCTGTTAGGTGGCAGGAGATAAAAACATTCTGACCAGTTTACAAAGATAGAACTATTTATTTATTTATATTGTTTTGTTACCCACTGACTGTGGCACATTGACAGTAGAAGAAGAGCTGTGACACTTTTGAAGCTCTTCATGGACTTTGATCATGTTGCTTGTTCAACATCTGAACCCCTGCTGGCAGACCGACCCCCCCCCCCCCACCACCACCATATGCTAATGTGTGCTGATGGGGGTACAGTATGAGCTCTGATTAAAATGTTACCACAGGTCTATTCAGGCTGGAACATGTTTCATTTCTTTCACCCGAGTCAAATAAAGAAGGGAAACTTGTATCTGCTCCAACATTTTCTTTAGACTCATCAGCTGGACTCCAGGAGGAAGATCAATCTGGATTAAAGACAACATGTTGGGACAAGTTCCATCCATCCATTATCTTTACCCGCTTCTTCCTTTTCGGGTCGCGGGGGTCACTAGTGCCCATATCTAACCATGTGCGAGAGGCAGGAGACACACTGAACAGGTCCCCAGTCCATCACAGGGACACCTGGACATGTCTCCAGTCCATCACAGGGACACAGAGACAAACAAGACAACCATTCACTCTCTCACACCTAGAGACAATTTAGAGTTACCAATCAGTCTAACATGCATGTTTCAATTGTGTTGAGAACTGACCAGATCCATAGTAAAAATTACGGTTTGGAAGATATGTAGAGGCTCAGAAACAGTTTCACAGACAGAGCAGCAAAGCAAAGGGAGGAGGGAGAGGAAGGGAAAGGCATCCGCCCTCGACAAGAGCAAGTGGATGAAGTACATAATTGGATTTATGATAACAGATTTCTGCTTTTTGGAGTTGGTGATCCCCTAGATTATCAGAATAAGCTTTATAATCATTGCACCAAAGTACATCAATATTATATTCTGTGCAGTCGTCCAAAAGATGGGTGGAGTGTATGTGGCTGCAGCTTCTAGGAGCGCGGCCCCTTTTCTTTAGATAGAAAAGGGGAAAGACCTTGAGGATAGTGGTATTTAAAAAAAAATCTCTTCACACCTTGGCCTTGTCAGGACACGATTTAAGACATCAAAAAATCCACTAACAAGCACATTTATAGACACATTACATATGCATTTGATGACAAGACAATGAAATTTGTCTATGAAGCACTTCCAGATAGCACCATAGTCCTGATATGATGTTAACGTGTCAGCCGGTACAGCTCTGATAAGCGTTCACAGAAGTTCTCGGGGGGGAGGCATGCGGAGGTGGATAGAACAGAGCCTTATTAGTTTACACATCACCAGGAACAATTTGATAAGTTAGCCTATTCAAGGTCGAACGGGAAGGCCAGATTCAGATAAGCCACAGTTGTTTTTTTGGGAAGGCAGACTGTTTTTCTTGTCAGCCTTGAGATCTGCTGGTACTCTTGATGATCCAAAATGGCCAGATTTGTGGGCTTTCCGCTGGTCCGTGCTTATTAGCCTTCTCCAAGGTCGACTTCAACATGCTGGCGAGTTCCAGAAGCTGCAAGTGGACTACGATTCTCATCAATCGCTTCCATCTTACGGTTGAGCTCGTAAATCAGCTAAGTCTGAGAGTTTGAAGCACAAATTAATCCTTCACATAAGGTCAGCAGCTTTGCCATGGCCGAAACGGCTGCTGCCATCTTCCTAAATGGCCGATAACATGGTATCTGACGGTGCCAAAAAGCAGAAACCCTACTATCATAAATCTAGTTATATATAAATCTTCGACATCCTCCTGAGACAACACAGAAAGGCACAACATTTTCCATTCTCCCCACAGATCTATGATGTACCCAGCCACGTGCATCTCAGCAGGGAATGAGGGTTCTCCAGCACTGTCGCTTGGTCGAAATTTTTTTTATATATTGCGTTGAAAGTCCGGTTGACCAAATCCATAACAGTAATTTGCAATTCGGAAGATGTGTAAATAGAAGCTCCAATACACAGGAAACACTCAGACTATGCTGTGTGAACTATCTATGGACCTGTATCAGAGCTGAACCGGCTGATAGACGCGCCATCTTTTATCAGGACTATGGAACTTTCTGGCAGTGTTCACGGACGGATTAAAAAGAATATGTAAAAATAAAAACATAATTGGGCATACAAATAAATTATTGATATATGTATGTGTACATTGGTGTGTATAGATTTGTGTGTGTACATGTATAGACAAATGGAATAGATCACGAGAACACACTTTTTTTAATCTAAATCAATTACATAATAAAATTTGATTAAATTATATAAGAACTTAATTCAAAATTAGTATATTTACAAAAAAAAAAAATCACAAGTTACAATAACAATTAAAAAATATATACACACAGCTTTATTTCATCGATAATTTATTTCAAGAAACACTCCGGTAAAAGTCCACACACACACAAATGGGTTTCTTACAGGGGGCATGGCTTTGAATATGGAACCTGACTACAGAGTATAAAAGGGGAGGGAGAGGAAGAGCAGGTGTCACTGATTACCACTAATTAACACCAAGGGGTGTGGCTTGGAATATGGAACCTGACTATAAAAGGGGTGGGAGCCAGAAGAGCAGGTTGAGACACAGAAGGAACTACATTGAAATCACAGATCAGAACATATGTCTTTAGTATTAAAATGTGCCACAGCCTGAAGAAGGCTTTAGAAAGAGCTGAAATGTTGTTGCACACTTTTGTTTAATTTTTTTTATTCATTTTGATTTTATAAACAAAACATTACTTTGTTTTCAATTTCAATCTATATTGAAAAACATTAACTCCGGTAGACCTTATTATTATTGTTTATTTTTTTCCCTTTTCACCAGTATATTTATTTATTTTTTTTAAATATTACAATAGGTTTGTGTGCAATCTTGCCTCAAAACTGCAATACCGAGTCTGCAAAAGTCGAACTGCAAAGCATCGAGAACCACTGCACCACATGGGCTGATCTGAACATTGTCCATTGCTGGCCGACAGCAGATCGTCTTTCTCCTCTTCCCCCATAATGCTGCTGATCAGGTGCGCTGCATATCCGAGTTGCGTTCTCCAGCAGAACCTTTGGCCATGCACAGCAAAATATGCAGTCTTGGTTATTTTTTCAGTGTTAATAAATTTGAGTTGATGGTGTTTTTAACACTTGTAGTGATCAAAAGGCTCTAAGCGGTGTGGATCAAGCGAGTTAACATGTGACTGAGTTCGATTCACTCCAGGTGGAGTTGATAATGTTGTGCCTGATCTTATTGTTGTGCTGGGAAGCTTTTTTTTTTTTTTTAATTTATTTAAAAAGGAAAAAATGTTTTAACCTGCTCACTGTTGCTGGTTAACTCGTGACTACAAGAATCTTCAGATTTGAGGACTTGCATGTTAGGCTAGTAAACTGAACGCACTTTAAATGTTTTGTAAAACAAAACGATCAATGAATGTTAAAACATGAGTGAAAGGAAATGACACAATTTTGGTGTCAACAGTGCACTTTAATGTTTCATAAAATAACACAACGTATGTTAACGATTAAACACTTACAGAAGTGGGAGTGGTGGTGCAGAGACCAGAGAGGGTGAGCCTATGATCAGTGAACTCTGGTTCAACTCCCAAGCAAACATCAAAATGTGGGTGGAAAAGGTGAAACGCCCATGAGCTGTATGCCACAATCATCAGTATTAAAACAATTAATCATCAGTATTAAAACAATTAAAGACCTGAAATATTTCAGTTGGAGTGCAATGAATCTGAAAAATATAAAAGTTTCATTTTTATCATTACATTATGGAAAATAATGACCTTTATCACAATATGCTAATTTTTTTAGAAGGACCTGTATACTAATTAATGAACTAGAATCAACATATTATTGATCTGAGTGGTTGATTATCTCAATCCTTGAACAACTAGTAGTATTGCCACCATTTCTGCTGTGTAAACTGGTAGTTTGTCGTTTAACCTCCTCCCTACTTTAACAAACTCAGGGATAGTGAATGCTGCCCAGATTCGATCTGTATTCTTTGATGCATCTGTGTATATTTTTACATAACCATGATACTGATGTATTTTCTAAATGTATCTATAGAGTTTAATCTATTTTTACTCTTAATACTTTTTTAGATGAACTACTGGGTCTGTGAGTAACCGTGGGTGAATGATGGGTAGTGGTACTGTTGGGCTGACATTTAGATTATTGTTTGAACTTTACAGATTTAATACTTCGTTGTCTTTAATGTTTGACCTGGCTGCTGTTCGAAGCCGGTTCTGTTGGTCCAAAGGGACTGGCATCGTACATCCTTAAAGTCCAGTGGTTCCCAAAGTTGGATTCACAGGTCATCATCCTTCGGTTCCTAATAACTGGTTTCATGGAGCTCTGATAATTTTTTAAAACCCGATTCTGATCTGTTGTGTCTCCGACCTTGCTCTTCATGATGTCTCCTGCTTGGTTGTAGTCCTTACCACTGGAGGTGTTGGAGAACAGGTGCGCATGTTCTGAGGCCATCAGACACTCGGGCTGATGGTTGGAGCCTCACAGCTGAGGCGGTGAATATTTATGAACACATTTAGACTTCAACCATTTTAGGTTGAGTTCACTGAGCTTTGGCAGCCATCTTTAATCGGGTTGACTCCTAAAGTTGGTAATTTGTTCATCCAATAATTTATGAAAATCTGATTTTATTATGTTCAGTGGGTCATGACAAACACCTGTCGTCAGGTGAGAAGGAGAAAAAAAGACGTGTTGAGTCAATAGTTTATTCCACACATCTTCACTGAACACAGCAGGATTTTAAAGATACAATAAATGTTGTGAATTAAGTCTTTTTTATTTTGGCATTAACAAACACTAACCATCATTATATTCTGTTTTCATGTGTTTTTATTTTTAAAGAACCTATTTACATTTAGTGGCGTGTGTGTGTGTGTGTGTGTGTGTGTAGAGCTCACCCTACAGCCGAGCACTCCTTGTGTGTTCTGAAGCACCTTTAGGTTAACGCGAGAATAAAAATTGACTGACGGAGCACCGTCAGGTGACGGAGGCGAAGGCGTTCCTGTCTAGTGACTTCAAGGCATCAAACCACATGTTGTGGAAATGCAGGTGGTCTTTTCCAAACACGCTGCTCTGTGCACGGTCTGCTTCCTGTCTCGGTCACAAGTTCTGGTCTGTATGAGCAGGAACTGAAACTCACTAAAATACAGATGCACTGAGATGGCCACCCCCAGTTTAACTAAGGCTAATGATGAGTGTGTGTGTGTGTGGGGGGGGGGGGGGGGGGGGGGGCGGCTCTAAATTGTTATTGATAGAACCAATACTTCAAAAGAACCAATACTTCAAAAGAATGGTATTACCGTTCATAAGTGAGTTTTTAAGTCTTATTGTTCTTGTGTTTAAAAATAACAAATAATTCAAGGGCAGCCAAAGCATTCTCCATAAATTAAAATGAGCAGATGTCTACAGCGTAATCCCCGTTGTCCCCACAGCTGGACTAAAATTGACCTCAGTTCTGTGTTTTTTTTTTTTTTTTTTTTGTAGTCTCATTACAGCTGGACACTTTCTCCTTCCGTCACATGCATGATGCGTTTCTTTCATTAAATAAGTGATCGATGTGTATTTTTGAACTGATGACGGTAAACTGCACACATGGGGTGTGGCTTCCACATGGATATTGGCAGCCATTTTGTTAGGTGCCATACTTGTCCCCCTGAACAAAGATCTCATCTAGAGCCATCGGTGGTCATTTCATCCAGACAGCCATTCTTTCTTTACCCACTTCTCTTTTCCAAGTTGTGGTTTGCTGGTGTCCATCTCCAGCAGCTACTGTGTGAAAGACGGGGGACACCCTGGACAGGACAGACAAATGAGACAACCATTACCATGCACCTAACGTGGAGTGTCAGTCTGTGGGAGGAGAGCATGTAAACTCCACCCAGAAAGGCTGTGAGGTGACATCTCAACATCTCTATTTCAGTGAAGTTCTGTCTGGCGTGATTTGTATTTCCAAAAGGAACAAAGAACACTAAGTGCACAAAAATACAGTTCAATAACAAAAAGGCCAACCATGTGCAGCAAGGCCGAAGCAAACGTTACAGTTTCTCAACAAGACCTTGCATTTACGGTGTTTAAGGTTTGGGGGCACACGGTAGGCCTGAAACTTATGACAGGTCAGAGGTCATCAGGAAGTCGGTGCTTATGTTGCCTCTTTCTTTTCCCTTTGGGCATTCCGGCGAATCTTCATCTCTGTCAGCTGGATGTAGCGGATGACGTTGGTATCTGGGGAAAACGAAGAGAAAAGGTTTTCTCATTTCCTGTTCAGACAGGAAGCAGTGCACCAGTACATTCAGAAGTCTTCCAGTTCACCTCAAATGTTCTAGACAAGTTTATTTAGGAGCTTTTGTACAAGACCCTACAGTTTCGTCCTCACTCTAGAAACACTACAGCGTTAAAGGGATAGTCCGGTTATTGGTGGAGGAATGATTTGTCAAATAGTCTCAGTAGTTGGTACCTTATGAGCTGTGGCATCCGTCATGGAGGATTCAGGAAAAAGACTAAAGTCTTTGTCTAGATTAGGATAATGACCAACGGTGACTTTCAGCTATTAGAGGTGCTCCAACACCCACTACGTTTTAGCTCCCCATCCTTGAAAAATTAAAGTAACGACCATGATGTTGTGAATCTATTGAATTCTAAGACCTTTTTAAGTGGGTAAAGATGGATGGATCTCCTGACCTTTGACATGTAGTACTAGTGTACGTGCTGGTACTCCTGACCTTTGACATGTAGTACTAGTGTACATGCTGGTACTCCTGACCTTTGACATGTAGTACTAGTGTACATGCTGGAACTCCTGACCTTTGACATGTAGTACTAGTGTACATGCTGGTACTCCTGACCTTTGACATGTAGTACTAGTGTACATGCTGGTATTCCTGACCTTTGACATATAGTACTAGTGTACATGCTGGTACTCCTGACCTTTGACATGTAGTACTAGTGTACATGCTGGTACTCCTGACCTTTGACAT